CTTCCTGTAGCACCATGAATATTGCGATGACACCACCTGTTGCTGTTTTACCCACCTGATTTTTTAGAAAAAATCTAATTTTTTTCTCATCAACTAGCTGTCTTTCAATAATTTCCAGTGTTTCGAATAGTTCCAGAATAGTCGTGATGAATCTAAAAAGACCATTTTGAGTTTCTGTTTCCAAAAACTGCAATGAACAAGGCCAACAGAATAGAAAGGAAAGGAAAAAGGAAATCGGGATGTTAACATCTACTCTTTCGATTGAACGACGATCAGCGGATCCACTGAAAAAAGTGGTTGTAATGTATCAAAACTTCAAAGGGCCAAGCGTTACTTATAAGTATTAAAAAAATCTCCCCTTCAGCTGAGCTGCGCACATTTCGAACGTCGAACCCACCTTCGCTGCCCCATTTCGGTATTATGACAGATGAAAATTGAACAGGAGGATGTATAAACAACAGAAGTTAACCCGAATCGATACGCATAAGTCGAAGTGGTTCTAGAAAAGATTTATAGGAAACAGTACGGGATTCCTAACTCGAATTGTGGATGAATAAGTAGGAGGTCTGGTTGAAAAACTAAATGGAAGAATAAGAGAGAAAATATCGAACAGCCAAGTGCCAAAAATCACCAAACAAATCAAAGAACAGTCGTGCGAGCAGGGGGCGGCATCGATTTGTTCTGAACCGCTCTAGATTGTTCTATTGATCAAATGGGTCAACTTTGTCGATACCCACTTTCGTCAACAACATTTTACACCAAGCTGCTCATGAACGCTAATTTGATCCCTTGGCGTTCAGCCGTCTCAGATCAAGAAACGCATGGGAAAAGTCAGACGACATTCATTCTAGTTGTGAGACCTTTTCTAGTGGATAGGCAAAGTATTCCGAAGTAGGAACCAGACAGTTGATTCGAGGAATAACTGATTCGGTTTTCAGATTAGCCTTTTTGTTCACGAGACTCCCCTCTCCCTTTCCACTCCCATGAAAAAGTGCAGAAAATTGTGCCGATGGCTGGGAAGAAGGATCAGACCAGAAGGAAAACGATTGAACAGATGTGATAGCACATGCGTCGAAGTGTACCGTCAGGGTGAAATGGCATCCGGCTTACTCGATATCTTTCTCGCCGCCTCTAGCGTTTCCACCATATGAATCTTTGGATGGTGGCAACCGTCGGTTAGAGCACGGTTTCCTACCGTTGCACTGCAACAAGAAGGATGTGGCAATATGAAACATCGCAAAATAAACAAGGAGCAAGGTCAGCGGAGTACGGGAGGCAATGGACATTATCGCGGTTGAAGAAACAGGGAAACGAAAAAAGTGAGATACTCGGAAACAAAAATGAAGGAGAAGAAACATGTCTTAGAACCAGCTCTCAACTGTTTTTGTTAAGCAGGTAGTTCGCGATTGTGGTCAGGATATCATGTGGTTTTCAGAATATGACTGCATATGGCAATTATGTGAAGAATTTACGTTGTTTTGGGATAGCCTGAACAATTCCTTCTAGAAAAACCGTGCTACAACAGATTTTGTGGGGGTCGTAGGGCTTCAAAAGTACCCTTTGCTGCCTCTCAATTTGGACGACTGCACCGTTTATCATTGGTGCCCAAATTTGAAGTAAAGTAGGCTAGTAGGATTGTCCGAACCTACAAAGCACTCTACTGCAAGTTTGTGCCCCAATGATAGGCGCAGGAGTCATATGAATCATCGCGAATTTCGCAATTTGCCGCGCGCATCCGGAATCGCACGAATCGAACGTCCCTCACCCTTTTCGGAATAGGATAGTTACGAAACCATTATCCACACATCGACTTATTTACGCCTTACTCGTCTACCAGGATCAAGAAACGTGTTTAATCACAGTCGCCTCTTCCCGCACGTGTGACTGCATCGAATGAACTGAGCTCAATTTAATCTGACTACGAGCCATCAACCCAAGAATCCAATGACCTTTAAACTACAACAAAGTACAGAGCGAAATATGCAACCCAAATGCTACAAGCATACACGACAAGTACATTAATGAGCTGAATTGACAATTCATTGATTGGCATTTATCGTTAAATGAATTTCTATTTATTGATTCACTGATAGAGGTAGGCAGATTTCTGTTGATTCGTGAAAAACGATGGAGAGAATAGCTATACGGTTACGCCCTCACAAATAGCACAAAGAAGCGCAACATACTACGGCACTGCTTAGCAGAATATAATCGTATACTGCTTACCTGAAGCAACAGTAACTCTTATAGATAAGTAACTGATAGGAATCCAGGTTGAAAGATCTTACTATCGGAACCAACACTATTGTTCATCTCCCTTAGTTCTGCAAACAGTCCTAGCCGGGTTTGCTACAGCGCGAAGTCATTTGCTCTAGGTATTTGGGAAAACAAATTAGGTCATATCTATCCGTGCGAATAGGAATAAATTTCTCGAAGACCTCATCCAAAATGGCGACAAACATTACATACTTTCCATCAACATAATTTACAGTTGCGAACGAGCTTATCCAATCAATCTCAGCTAGGTATGTGTTAGTGACCTTCTAATGGCAGCTTTGCTGTTCTTTGTAATGCAGAATACTGGTCTGATTTTGATGTTTTGATTTGGAATTCGGCAGTCGGGTTGGTCACTGATGACGACATGCAGCAACTTCTTCTGTATACCATGTGATCCTTGTACCGTATAGATTTCACAATAGTTGAATGCACTGGGGTCAATCGATATTAACTACGAACATTCGATTGCATCTAAAAATATAGGGAGCTTTCCGGCGCGTGTCGCGTGCGTGTCTCTTGGCCCGTTGCCAACGTGCGCGCGAATCCGTCACTTTGAAGGGAATAGGCTCATCTCCCACGAGAACCGTTCCTGTTTAACGCCGCTCACCTTCCGCCCCTTCGATTCATCCTGTACCTAACGGAATCGGCAACTACTCGTCTACCTTCCCACGTTCTTCTTTTATTCAATGATTCTGTATTCGCTAAACTATCTGTAATCTTGTGCGCCAAGTGCTGCTCAAAACTGTTTATTCTTACACAGGCTGTATTTAGAAGCAAAGGTACGTTTTTCGATTTCAACTTTCGATTTTTCTTTTCGATTTTAACTGAGGTTTAACCAATAGGAATAGGGTTACAACCGCTCAACATCTCTATTTCTATCGTTTTCGGGCGTACTAGTAGTTCTACAAACTAAGGTACTGTAAACCTTTATCTACACTTCGAAAATGAGGAGGCCACTTGCCCCTAACATATATTCCTCACCACTTACCGTTGGGATTGCTACGAATTCCGCTCATGTACTGATCTCATGATCTCAAAAGGAGGAAAACATGTTCTGATCTAATGAACCCAAAAGGAAGAAAATTTTGTTTGTTTTTATTGAATAGATATCATGTTACTGGTCTACTCAACTGCTAGAATCCTTGAAAAGCATGATGTAAAGAGTGTTCAAGACCAAGAATCATCATTATCTTACTCATCCGACCGCTTGTCCTCTTTACCATCTACGTGTACAAAATCTGTAATTTTGGCCCAATTTCCTGCGTTGCTTGATTATCGTATCTTTATCTCATTGGCTTTTTCGAACAACTCCATAGAATGGGCCCAAATCTCAGTGGTTTTTACTGATCCTACAACGGTTTTCGCACATTCTTATTCATTTGTTCATCAGGGATCATCGAACTGATTCTCAGTTACTTCTACTCTCCTAGATTGATCATGACTTTCAAATTCATAGGGCACCTTGTTGCTCTTCTCATCTAATCGAGCAGTTCTACCTTAAGACTGACATCCGGCTAGTTAAATACATAAATGCGTACAATAAATAGGTTACATGGCCGATGTTCTCGCATTGGTTAGTTCGTAGAATAATGGAAGATGCCGCCCAAAAGCGAGGAGCAGGCCTTCTGTCACATTTGCGAGACAATGGTGCTCCGCAGAAACCTCTACAGGCGTATGAGCGACGTGCACAAGTATACGCAAGATGAGATAAAAAGAATGAAGGATGACTATAGGAAGGAGAGTCAGTCGCGTGCCAGTAAATTGACAGTCTCCTGTCCGGCTTGTGGAGACAGATTTGTCGACCATGAACATCTCGCCAGTCACTGCGCGAATGGCGCAGAGCGAAACTATACCGTCTACTCCCTAACATTCCAGACTAAAGACGAGTTTGAGGTTCGAATTTATTACATTGGATTCAACATCATTGAGAATCAAATTCCCTTAGGTTTTCCTTCGCGAGCAGTGTGAAGAAACTATAAGTTCGCTGTATCAGCGAGCTTCTAAGGGAAGTCTTATAGCTTGAGGTAAAGTGAAATTTTGTCGTTGAAGAGCTTCGAATTTTTAAAGGCCATTATCTGCAGATGTAGTAGATCGGGACTATTCCAAAGTGTAAGCACAGTACGTACAAGGATGAGCAGGAAGGAGGTTTCATATTGTTCTTGCTTCACCAACTACACTGTAAACGATGACGGAACCGTGCACATGAAAGGGTGTTTCGGACACATAGGGCACGATGTCGAACCTGCTCTTTTACGCCTAACGGAAGAGCAGAAGCAGCATTTGAGACGCCTACTAGAAGGTAATTTAGACTTATATAAGAACTGTTGAATCTGATAGCTGCATAGTAGAAATACAGATCACTCTTTGGATTATGTCATTCGTTGAGTGAGAAACGACTTTTCACCAGAACTTTCGCAGCTCCTTTTTGTTACTAAAGGCAACCTTTGGAACATAATAGAAAAATATGGAATGAGACCTGGATTCCGCAAAATGACTTAACATCTCTGCAAATGCGAGCGGACGAAAACAATGCCGATGATGGGATACAACTTCTAGAGATGGCAGAAGACCCGAGCGGGAAAGGATTCACTTTGGATTAGAATGAACAGAATACAGAAAGCGCATTTAATTAACAACTACTCGATTTGGTGGTAATTTTGTGAACTGGAGAAAGGACTCGTATTGGTTTCAGTAATAATAACGCCCACTCAGCTCATTTGGCTCAAACAGTATTCCGGTCGCGGCATCTCAATCGATGATACTCACGGTTCCACGTACACTTTGAAGTTGGCCTCTGTTGTAGTCGCAGATGAACGTGATCGAGGGCTGCCAGCAGGTCAAATAATAGAAGGTTGATTACTAATAATCATCAGAATTTGTAATTTTTAGCTTTCCCCCTTAGTGGCACCATGACCACTAGTGACGTGGAGAAGCTGTTCGGGCAAATAAAGATGCTCTTTCCTGATTTCAACCCCGCTCAGATTAATACTGATGAGGCCCCTTGCTTCATTAAAGGGTTTAAAGCTGTGTTCCCTGGATCGAAAGCCGTGCCACGCTACTGCAGGTGGCCTATAAGCAAGACATGGGAAAGAAAAGTGAAAGAGTTGGTAGAGGTTAGTTGGTCGAGGTAAGCAGAAGTGCAAGAGAACAGGTAATCATTTAGGCTCGCGTACGCGAACGGGTCTAGAATGACCTTCATGAATCACTGCGGATTGGGCACCTGCAACAATTTCAATTGAATTTGGAGAAGTTCATTCGCCGGTCGTGGAGCAGTGATGTACACTACTATGTTGAGCAAACGCTGGCATCTGCGCTCGAAAAATGAGATGTTCCACAGAAATGCCAACTCCAGAGTTGATTGCTTGGTCGAGCTATTTATAAGAGCTGTCGAAGATCTCGCAGATTCGAACGATATCAAGGTGCATCAAAGATACTACCTGTTCTGTAATGTCCTATCACAGTTATAAACACTTTAGGATCGCCGATGGCTTGCTACAGCGTCCTTTGGGACTTAACAAACGTTGATATGCCATCGATCTGAACTGCGTATTACGAAGGGAGGCCAGAAAAGGTCAGAAGCATAGCAAGGGGCAAGTGGGAGGTGCAGGGGAAGACTTCGAGAAGGCATATCTGGTTGAGAGTCTTGGCAAATGTGGGTCTAATGCAGGACCTGCAGGCAACGTCCATTGCCCTTAATGCGGCGTGTGTCCATACACATGGACATGCACGTGCCTCGATAATAGAGCAGGCGTATCCTGTATTCATGGGCATGCCGTTAAAATAAGTGAGAACGCAGCAACTACGTCATCACTAAATAGGGATGAAGAAGCTGACTAAAGAACGCCAGCACAAGAAGTTGCAACCTTCAGCTAGCTGCTACAGACCCAATTGTTCATACCCAGGAGCAACTGG